ACACACCACACACACACACACACACACACACACACACACACACACACACGGGAAGAATCTCAGCACTAGGGTAGCTGAGACAGGTACATCGGGAGTTCAAGGCTATTTTCAGCTGCACAGCAAGTTTCAGTCAACCTGGGTTGCAATAAGATTTTATCTGTCACCAAAATAAATAAAACAAGAGGGAAATTATTTGAAGTACCCTGAGGACTGCAAGGATAAGTCTGAGTGAAAAGACCTCCTTGTCCACAGCCACCTCTCCTGGCCAGGCCCCGTACTTGTACGAGATCTGTAGACAGTGCTGACACTCCTGGACAGGTGCAAGAGTTCGGTTTCGACTGGAAAACAAGACTCCAAACAGGATCCAGGCCAAGTAAGGGAGAGGTGAGGGGCTGAAAGCCACCAGATCCAAGTATGGTCAGACAGGAAAAGGTGCCTGGGTGCCAGGAGAGAGACCTGGGGGAGGAGATAGACTTTATGAAGCCTGGCTTCTCTCTCAGAGAGGGACGGGTCCTCTCTCCCACAGAGCGCCTGCCCACCCGTTTGCTTACTTCCTTTTACCACCCTGCCTGGTGAAAGCATTAACTGGAGGAGGGAGTTTCCTTTCAAAATGGTTGCATATCTGGCCACACCAGAACAAAAGGAAAACAAACATCAAGGCATTTTCCCCTGTGCAAAGGGGACTGTAAGAAAGACCTCTAATTTAGATGGGTTTGCTTATTTCCTTCCTCCCTCCCTTCCTTTCTTCTTTGTTTCTTTTTGAGACAGAGTCTCTTATAGCCCAGACTGACCTCAAACTCACTATGTAGCCAAAGATGATTTTGAACTCCTGGTTGTCCTTTGTCCCACCTTTACCTCACAATCACCTACCCTTTGTTAGATAGGTTTTACTTGGTGGGGACGGTGGCGTATGTTTGTAATCCTAACCCAAGCACTCAGGAGCCAGGCTATCAAATTTGAGACCAACTGGAGGTCCAGTCTAAAAAATAAAATTAAAAAAAAAAAAAAAAAAAGCCAACAGGTCTGGGAAGATGGCCCAGTCAGTAAAGTGCTTGCCATGCAAGCCTGAGGACATGAGTGTGGTTTCCATCCCCTGCAACCCCAGGGCTGGGGACACGGGCACAGGTGGATTGCTGAGGTCCATGTCCAGCCATCCTATACTATTTCAAAAGCTCAAAGCCAGTGATAGACCTTGTCCCAAAACACTAGTTAGATCATACTCGGGGAACAACACTTTGGGGTGACGTGTGCCCTTCACATATAGACATGCATGAGCTCATGCACCTGTACACATATATGAATATGCACACAACAAACAAAACCTCAGTACACCAAGATAGGAATAAACCAAGTGTGGTGGCACAGACCTATAATCCCAGAATTTTCCTTTGCTTCTTTCATTTCTCTCTCTCTCTCTCTCTCTCTCTCTCTCTCACTTTTTGGTTTTTCGAGACAGGGTTTCTCTGTGTATCTTTGGAGCCTATCCTGGCATTCGCTTTGGAGACCAGGCTGGCCTCGAACTCACAGAGATCCTCCTGCCTCTGCCTCCCGGGTGCTGGATTAAAGGCGTGCACCACCAATGCCCATCCTTTTTGGGTTTTTTTAATTCGGCGTTTCTCTGTGTAACAGCTCTGGCTGTCCTGGAACTCTATCTGTAGACCAGGCTGGCCTCTAACTCACAGAGATTTGCCTGGGGAGTTCTGGGATTAAAAGCATGAGTCACCATGCCAGTCTTGTTTGTTTTTTTCAATACATAGCCTTGCTATGAAGCTCTAGCTATCCTGGAATCCACTCTGTAGACCAGGCTGGCCTCACACTCACAGAGATCTGCCTGCTTCTGCTTCCTGAGTGCTGGGATTAAAGGCGTTGAGTCACTATATCTGGCAAACCCAGTGCTTTGGAAGCTGGGTCAGAAGAATTAATAGCCTGCACTACACAATGAGCCCCAGTCCTCTCTGTCTTAAGTAAAATAAAACAAAAACAAGCCAGAAGTAGTGCTGTGTGCCTGTACTCTCAGCATTTGGGAGATGGAGGCCCAAGGGTTAGAAGTTCAAGCACTGTGATCATGGAAACCTTAATCCTGTATGTAGGGTTAAATCAGCATGTGTCTACTAACTCCCTCTGGGTGATCCAGTTGACAAAAGAGACACCTTAATTCCCATTGGATTAGGTAAAGCACTCTCCGTGAGAATACTAGAAACTAGAATTCCGCAGTGGGATTTCAAATTTCTATATTTGTGATTTCCTTGGGGGAAATACGGGTCTCAGTAGGGGAAAAGTCAATGGAGAAAAGGTCATTGCTAGTCTGGCCAGATTACCTAACTGAACTATTCCTGTCTACCCCATTTATCTCCTCGGCATTCAGGCCAGGCATATTTGAGGACAGATAGGAAGGACTGGTATCAGCAGTCCCTTCTTTGGTCTGAAATCTGTGTTGTCCTTGCTGTATGTCCTGATGCACAGCTTATGACCTTGACTTTTCTGCTGGAGGGGTCTTCTGCCAACTTACTAGCTGCAGGAATTGCTGATCCCCAGCTACTCTGGCTGAAAAGGTTCTTGGAAGCAACTGGCAATGCGCCTGATATATCTTTAGCTTGCCTGGCTGAAAATAAGGTGTGGAGATCAAGGGGATCGAATGAGCTTGGCAAACTAGGGGCATGTCCTGCCATTTGGAGGACCAAGGCTGGAGTGACTAATTGGAATTGGTTGTACTGCCTCAAAGACAAAATGTCATAAAAATCAGGTCATGTTTGAACTCTGCCCTGCCTGGAGTCTTGCTTTTCTTAGCAGGTGACCTTGCTGGACGAAGCCAATGACATAAGACCCAAAACCATTTGTACCTTAGCAAGTGGATCTACACCAACTCTATTGGTTTTGGTTTTGGTTTTTCGAGACAGGGTTTCTCTGTGTATCTTTGGAGCCTATCCTGGCATTCGCTTTGGAGACCAGGCTGGCCTCGAACTCACAGAGATCCTCCTGCCTCTGCCTCCCGGGTGCTGGATTAAAGGCGTGCACCACCAATGCCCATCCTTTTTGGGTTTTTTTAATTCGGCGTTTCTCTGTGTAACAGCTCTGGCTGTCCTGGAACTCTATCTGTAGACCAGGCTGGCCTCTAACTCACAGAGATTTGCCTGGGGAGTTCTGGGATTAAAAGCATGAGTCACCATGCCAGTCTTGTTTGTTTTTTTCAATACATAGCCTTGCTATGAAGCTCTAGCTATCCTGGAATCCACTCTGTAGACCAGGCTGGCCTCACACTCACAGAGATCTGCCTGCTTCTGCTTCCTGAGTGCTGGGATTAAAGGCGTTGAGTCACTATATCTGGCAAACCCAGTGCTTTGGAAGCTGGGTCAGAAGAATTAATAGCCTGCACTACACAATGAGCCCCAGTCCTCTCTGTCTTAAGTAAAATAAAACAAAAACAAGCCAGAAGTAGTGCTGTGTGCCTGTACTCTCAGCATTTGGGAGATGGAGGCCCAAGGGTTAGAAGTTCAAGCACTGTGATCATGGAAACCTTAATCCTGTATGTAGGGTTAAATCAGCATGTGTCTACTAACTCCCTCTGGGTGATCCAGTTGACAAAAGAGACACCTTAATTCCCATTGGATTAGGTAAAGCACTCTCCGTGAGAATACTAGAAACTAGAATTCCGCAGTGGGATTTCAAATTTCTATATTTGTGATTTCCTTGGGGGAAATACGGGTCTCAGTAGGGGAAAAGTCAATGGAGAAAAGGTCATTGCTAGTCTGGCCAGATTACCTAACTGAACTATTCCTGTCTACCCCATTTATCTCCTCGGCATTCAGGCCAGGCATATTTGAGGACAGATAGGAAGGACTGGTATCAGCAGTCCCTTCTTTGGTCTGAAATCTGTGTTGTCCTTGCTGTATGTCCTGATGCACAGCTTATGACCTTGACTTTTCTGCTGGAGGGGTCTTCTGCCAACTTACTAGCTGCAGGAATTGCTGATCCCCAGCTACTCTGGCTGAAAAGGTTCTTGGAAGCAACTGGCAATGCGCCTGATATATCTTTAGCTTGCCTGGCTGAAAATAAGGTGTGGAGATCAAGGGGATCGAATGAGCTTGGCAAACTAGGGGCATGTCCTGCCATTTGGAGGACCAAGGCTGGAGTGACTAATTGGAATTGGTTGTACTGCCTCAAAGACAAAATGTCATAAAAATCAGGTCATGTTTGAACTCTGCCCTGCCTGGAGTCTTGCTTTTCTTAGCAGGTGACCTTGCTGGACGAAGCCAATGACATAAGACCCAAAACCATTTGTACCTTAGCAAGTGGATCTACACCAACTCTATTGGGTAGTAGGGTCTCTGGAGACATCTAGTCCAACTTCGTGTATCAGACAAGAAGAAACTGAGGCATGGAGTCTCGATGCGACTTTCTGAAGGGCACAAGACTATGGAGTAGGGAAACTAAAGCAATGAGATGGTATTTGGCCTGTCTGAGATGACAATTGTTCCCCTTGACTTAGCTTTTTGTTACTTCTCTCTCTCTCTCTCTCTCTCTCTCTCTCTCTCTCTCTCTCTCTCTCGTCTTTTGAGACAGTATCTCCTATACTGCAGCTTGGCTTCAAATTTTCCATGTAGCCAAGGGTTGTAGGCGTATGTCACTATGCTCGGTTTATGTCCTGTTGGGGATAGAACCAATGACTTTGTGCAGGCTAGGAAAGTGCTCTACCTATAAAGCTACACTCCCAGCTCCCCACACCCTGCTTTGTTCTTGACCAGCCTACACCCTTCTTTACTTTCAAAGGTCAAACAACCATGCAGATAAGTTGCAGCAACCAGCTATTTTTCCCTTCCCAAACCATAGGTGCCTGCCTGATCACTCTGTCTACCCGCCTTCTGGCTTTCATGGTTCTCCACGCTCAACCTAAACCAAATGTTTTATCCATACCTCTGTTTGGGCTTCCCTCAAACCACTGGAGTCCCTGTACTCATTTGTAGACTCATGATGTCACATGTCCTGCCCAAAGAGGAGAAGCCTGGTGCGGGGGAGGGTAGGTGTGGGACATGGGTCAGGCAGAGTAGGTTTCCTGCCAGAGAACCTACTGTGCAGCCCAGGTAGTGGGCATGGGAACAATTTAGACAATAAAACCTGTCCCTAATGGGTATTATGTACACAGGTGACAAGCACTGCCTGGGTCTGATGTTATGTTTGTGAGCAGGGCCTCAACTGTTAGGGTGCCTCTCCAGGAAGAATAGCTTGACCCTGGCTCCTGGACCTAGCCTTCAGCCTCTGTCTGTCTGCTAGTGCTTATAGGAAGTTGGGGAAAGGTCAGTGGAAATAGTTTAACTCATGCTTGGAACGGCTTAGGAATCTGGAGAAGGTGCCGGGTCTCGTGTTAGTTATCGGCTTTGTCCAACAAGGTCATCTGCCAGGAAAGGCAGGAGTCCAGGCAGGCAGAGTCCAAGAATGGCCTGATCTTTATGACACTTTGTCTTTGAGGCAGTACAACTGATCCCAAGTGGTCACTCCAACCTTTGTCCTCCTTTCTCTGGTATCTTGGGGAAAGGGCCGTGAAGGAATGTGAGTGTGGAGAGCTGGGAGATTTCATTTCCTGCCCTTCTCTTCCACCTCTTGTTTTTCCCATTGCTTTAAGAAGTTAATGGGGACAGTGAGGTGGTGGCTCAAGGGTGCCTGCCCCCAAGCCTGATGACTTGAATTTTAAGCCCCAGATCCATATGGTGGAAGGGGAGTACTGATTCCTGCAAGTTGTTCTCTGCCCTCCTCCACACACGAGGATTCCTGTGCCCCCCCCCCCCCGCGCCCCAAATAAATGAAGTATAATAAAAAGAGAGTTTCCAGGGGAGCATCCTGTGGGCTAGCAGGTGGCAGTGTTTCCTAACACAGCTATGAATTTAAGTGATGAGGTTAGGATAGTGTCTCCCCTCCCGAGTGTGTCTCTCTTGGTGTGTTTGTGTGAGTGTGCCTCTGTGTATGTGTGTCTTTGTCTGTGTCTCTCTGTGTGTGTGTGTCTTTGTGTCTGTGTTGCGTGTGTGTGTCCGAGCGAGCACGCACGTGTGTAGGGAGCTCTGAGGGTGGAAGGGGACGTAGTCGGGAAAGACAAAAGAAAACCTGTCAGGGTCTTTCTCTTGTTTTCTACTGTTCCCTCCCTAGCTAGTCACCAGCTGAGTAACTGTGGGAAACCCCAGCGACAAGTGCCCTGGCTCCACCCTTCACTGGGCGAGCTAGAAAAGGAAACACATTAATCACCACAAATTGCTCAATAGCTCTGGAATGTTCGTTTCTATTCCTGTTACCTTCTCCGTTTTCTTGGCCGGGCTTCTATCTTAACACTTGCTACCACATAAACGAGGCTTTTAGAGGTGCTTTCCCACCATGAAGTCTAAGCCCCGCTTCTCCATGTACAATGGGGTCAGAAATACCTGATTTGGGGCTTCGGGTCTGTAGCTCACGAAGCTGTAGGAAATTCAGTCAGCCTGCCTAAATGCAATTGAGACATATGTTCTCGCACATTCCATCTTACTCAATGGGGTCCCCCCCGTGGTAGCACCCCAGATATCTAAGCAGGTCCTACTCAGGTTCTATACTGGACACGCAACTTACTCGTGGCTGTGGCATGTCAAGTGCATGCAACCAATCAGCTTGAGGAAGGCTTCTTCAGACGCCAATCAGAGCGTAGGGAAGTGACCTCAGCAAAGAGAGCGCTGTGTGGGCGAGGAAGCATCTCTTAGAGCTGTGTCCCTAAATCACTCCCTTCCCCTCCACACCCTCCTTACTTCCTGGAGGATAACACCGCCTACCCCTCCCCAAAGTAGAGTGAGAAAGGCTAACTAAATTCCACAAAGGAAAGAGCCAAAAGAGAAACTGCAAGCCACACACTGACTCTGGGTGTGAAGAATAGGATATTTAGGGTTCCCTAAATAAGCCTTTCAAAGTGGAAGAGAACTGTGTAGCTGGAAAGTTTGTCTCTCCTCTCTTTGGCCCCTGGCTTTCTTGACTCTCTGCACAAAAATAGCTGCAATCGTTTGTAAATAAGGACACAATCAAGGTCAAGTGTGAGAAAGAGAGGGCTGTGTCCTTGTGACCATGCCTGAATATACAGGGTCACCTCCCGGTGCTGGAGGCCAAAGGCCGGGGGAGGCAGCTGGTCTGTGGGAGACCCTGTGCTTTGCCCAATGCTTTCCAGGCAGCATCGCAGATGAATTCCTGAATGTGCTCCACTTGTGGGGGTGACAGGTAAAGGACATGGTCCTAGTGTCACACTAGACAAACAGAGGGCTGGCACTGGTGGCACATGCCTGGCACCCCGGCCAGTGCTTGGGGCAGGGTGGGGGGTGAGGGAGTATGAGGAAGGCTTGACTGGACAGCCCCTTCAGCCTTTCCTCCGCCCCCACCCTTTCCTGGTAGACATCACAGTGAGACAGATACAAACATTTTATTTAAAAATACAAAACAGGCCTTACTCCTCTTAACTGTTTCCACCCCAAGTATGTCCACAAGGGCTTACAAGAATCAAGTAGAGGTGTGTACACAGCTGTCTCCATGCTAGCAACCCAGTTACACCTCAACTCTGCTTCCATACCAAGACATCAGTCTTTTCCCCAAATGTGAGATGTGACACAGAGATTTGTCATTGCTGTTCATCACAACCCCCAGGGAACAGGCAGGCCACCTGGATTCTGACTAAGTCTGGTGTGATGGTGCGGGCAATCTCAAGACTTGGAAGGTGGAGGTAAGAGGGTCAAGAGTTCAGGGTCAACCTCAGCTACATACTGAGTTCCAGGTCAGCCTAGGCTATGTGAGATCCTGTCTCAAAAACAACAACAAAAACAGGAAAAACCCTAAATAATTTTAGATTCTATATCAAAAATTAAGAAGGATATAAGGGCCCAGATTTTCAGTATATAGCCTCATCCATATTGTCATCACTGTCACCTCCAAAGTCCTCTCCATTGTCAAAATATGACATGATGTAATCAGTTTCCTGAAATGTAAAAAGAAGCAAAGGTCAGCAATAACTTCACAGTTTTTCTTCCCCTTCTTTTTCCAGACACTTCTCTCCCAGACACACCTTTCGAGTGTGTCTGGGACACCCCACCAGCTGTTAGAAGTTTATTTTATGTGTATAAGTGTCTTGTTGGCACCTATGTCTGTGTACTGCTTGCATTCCTGGAGTCCTCAGATGCCAGAAAATAGCATCATATGTTCTGGAACTGGAGTTACAGGTAGTGAACTGCCATGTGGGCAGTGGGAATGGAGCTTGAGTCTTCTGGAAAAGTAGCAAGTGCCCTTAACCCCTGAGCCATCACTCCAACCCCATGCCATATATTTTAAATTACATTTATTTACTTGTTTCTGTGACTATGAGTGTATGGGGGGGGGGGTGTATGTGCATATGCCCTGGTTCATGTGTAGGGGTCAGAGGACACTTGCAGAAATCAGTTCTGTCCATCACGTATTGGGTTCCAGGGATTGAATTCAGGTCAAAAGGCTTGGCAGCATGCACCTTCACCCTCTGAGCCCTCTTACCACCATGTCATAGGCTTTGAGAACGGGCCAGAAGCAGATGAAATGCAGCCATTGGTGGCACTGTCATTGTAGGCCTCCCTCCCTGAGAACATCTCCCGTGTAAGAGTTGAGAGCCCAGGGGCTGGAGAGATGGCTCAGAGGTTAAGAGCACGGACTGCTCTTCCAGAGGTCCTGAATTCACTTCCAAGCAAACACATGGAGGCTCATAACCATCCATTATGAGATCTGGTGCCCTCTTCTGGTGTGCAGAGATACATGGAAGCAGAATGTTGTATACATAATAAATAAATAAAATCTTAAAAAAAAAAAAAAGAGTTGAGAGCCCAGGGTCCGTGGGATGGCTTAGCACAAAAGGAGCTTTCTGCCAAGCTGGAGGACCAGAACCCACATGGTAGGAGAGAACCAACTCCCACAAGTTGTCTTCTGACCTCCACACATTTGCCATCACACACACACACACACACACACACACACACTCACTAAAAAACAAATCAAAAAACTCTTTTCTATGATAAGCCTGGGGGTGGAGGTGTACTCCTGTAATCCCAACAGTAAGAAGTAGTCGCAGGAGGATTTCTGGAGAGTTTCAGGCCAATCTAGTTTATGCAGGGAGACCCTGCTTCAAAAACCAAAACCAAAAACCAAAACAAATGTGCTCTCTTCGGCAGCACAGACACTAAAATCGGAATGATTATAGCAAAGATTAGCATGGCCCCTGTTCAAGGATGGCACTCACACTGGTCCATATTTTTCCACACTTGAGCATTAAAAACAAACAAAACAACAAAACAAGCCTTTAAGAGAGACAGAGAGAGGGGGGGGGAGCGAGTCGGGAGGGAGGGTATGAGGGAGAGGGAGGAGCAGAAATCCCCTTCACCTCTTCGTGCTCCTCCTCATCGTACTCCTCTTCTTCCCCCTCTTCCTTGTCTTCTTCTTCTTCTTTCTCTTCGTCCTCCTCTGAAGTCACTTCTTCCTCCTTCTTCTCTAGAGTCTCATGTGAGGGTGAATAGGAAGAGAAGCTCACACTCGGCTAACACAGGGAGCACTGAGGCTCTAAGGGACCTGGAGCCCAGCTGTCTGTCATACTTCCTCCTCACCTCAAGCTTCTGTATTGTTTCCTCCTTATCTTCCATGGCCTTAGGGGGCCTCTTGGGGAGTAAAATGGTGGCCCCTGTTTGGAGGATCAAACAGCGAACCCTTAGGGAGCACATCTCCCGACTGTGTGTGTGTGTGTGTGTGTGTGTGTGTGTGTCTGTGTCTGTGTGTCTGTGTGTGTGTGTCTGTGTGTCTGTGTGTCTGTGTGTGTGTGTGTCTCTGTGTCTCTGTGTCTCTCTGTGTGTGTGTGTGTGTGTGTATGTCTGCATGTGTATGTGTGTGTATGCCTGTATGTGTGCGTATGTGTGTGTGTCTGTGTGTGTGTGTGTGTGTATATGTGTGTGTGTGTCTGCGTGTGTGTGTCTCTGTCTGTGTCTCTGTGTCTGTGTGTGTGTGTGTGTATGTGTGTGTGTGTGTGTTGGTGTGGGGTGTGGGGGGGGGGGGGGGGGGGTTGTGGGGAGGGGGTGGGTGTGGGGGGGTTAGGGTTAGGGTTAGGGGGTTAGGGTTAG